CCTGGGTTCGATCCCCAAGTCCCCAACTTTGCTTTCTATATTTTTTCTATGCATAATTAGGTACACATGTATACAACAAGTCCACCATACGTCCTCAATATCCAACCAATCAGGTCATCCACATGCCAAATCCAAGGCTTCCCAATGAATGCCCACCATGGACATGAGTAAAACGCATGCACATGATCTGGAAAGTCAAACGGGCCAGGCACTTATTGGGCTCAGATTTGCCATCCAACACCCCCATTTTGCTGAAAACAACCAGGCCCATCTTTCTTTCTTTTTATTTATCTTATTTCTTTTGATTTAATTAATTTAATTGTTTTCTAACAAAATTAATTCCCTTTTATTTAAAAATCATAAAATCAATTTTCATAAATTTAGAAATAGGTTTTATTTTTATTTTACCAAATTTAACTTAATGTTAGTTTAATTTAATTTAGGATTAATTCTAACTTTTTCATATATTTAAAATCAATTAGGAAAATTAGGTTTAGCATGTGATTTAATTTTTATTTTCTTTTCATAAAATAAAAAAAAATAAAAAAATAGGTTAATTTAATTATTTTTCTTAAATTAAAACTAATTAGTAAATTAGGTTTTTTATTTATTTATTCAGTTAAACCTTATTTTCTCAAAATAATCAAAAACATCCAAAAAAATGATTTTTCTTTTAATTAGGTTTAGTCGGGGTCAAAACCCTAATTCTCTCGTTTCGATTCATCGCGCGTGTTTTATTATTTTTACAATATTAATGTAACTGCTTACGATATGTAATAGTTTAATTAGGATTTTTCTTTTGTTTATCGTTTTACGGGTTTTTGGCTATGTAATTAATCCCCTACCCCGAAGCCTTGTAATAGCTTAGATTTTATTTTCTCGCATTTTAATTCTCGCAAATATTAATTGTTAGATGTATGTTAATAGGATTGTATGACAAGATTACATGACGATTTAAAATGGCTAGAAAACCCTAATGTGCAAAGATAATAACTGAAATCAAATCACTCGCACATGCACACTCCTAGGGTATACTCTCACTTCGGTTGCCTTCGGTAAACGATCATTAAGTATAGGGTGTTTTAGTGGTTGCCCTCCTGTCTAAACAAAGATCAAATGTCCCGTTCGGAAATGTTGCCTCGGAAAGGTTGCCTCAGAAATGTTGCCTCGAATATGATCTTATGATGTTAGGGCTATTACTAAGACGTCTTAACATTGCTTTAGTGATCGTACGTCCCTTTCGAGTTGACCCTTACAACTCCAATGACGGTGCTACCTACTCCTTAATAGTGGGATAGCGCTGTCTAAAGGAAACAAGAATAGAAACAATCTTTTTTTGAGCAGGTAGATGCTAGTAGGTACTTGCTCAGGACAAACCTTTTCACACTTACACTTTCCAAACAAAGTTTTCAAAAACAACTTCGTAACACTCTTGAGGACTAATACAAGGGTTAAAACGAAGTAAAACAAAAACTTTTCAGAACAAACACACACAAGCAATTTTTAAAAGATGAGCAAGTACCTAAGAGCCCGTGGAAAACCACAGATAGAAAGGGTGCTAATACCTTCCCTTTCTATAATCTACCCCCCGTACTCAGAATATCTCGAAAAAGGAATTTTTCTGTGTTTTTTTCCTTTCCGATTGGATAAAATAAAAGTCGGTGGCGACTCTTGCTTACCGCGACATTTTGCAAACACAAACGCAAAACGCTAACCAGCATTTTTTCAAAACAGTCGGTTCTACCACCGTATCACAGAAAGCCATTAAACATGAAATGAATATGCTAAGATAAAATAAAGACATGTTACATTTAGGTAGAATCAAATCTTCCTTTGCAAACTTTTCACCTTCTTCAGTGCTTACGACCCGTCTGTGAGCAAGATTACACTTGTTTCCAATCAGCATAATTGTCATATTCGCATTTGCATGTTGTCTTGCATATTCCAACCAACTAACATAAAAACCATCGATATAGTAAGATGGTGTTAACCATTTATTCAACAAAATGAAGTACACAATGGTAACAAAGAAGTGTTCAATAATGTATTGAAGTTGTTAAAATGTCAAAACATGCTAAAAATCTTGAACCTAAACAGTTATTTAACACTGTCACATTGACACACACACAATATAATAAACTAATTAACCCATAATTTGTTGGAGTCGAGTTCCAAAATCTGCAATTAATGAAAGTGATTGATCTCCTCAATTTTAGTATCTTCATATTTGGATACATAGAGCTCCTTGAGTGTATTACAAACCCTAGATACACCATGAAACGAGCAATTTCGTTGAAAGAAACATCAAAAACCATAAGCCTCTAAAATATGCTTACATCAGAAATAGTCTTTAAATCACTGCCACCAAGACAATAGAAAATCTAGTATTTGCAAAACAACAGAAACATAATATATCTTGAAACCTAGTAGAGCCACATAAGGAGAAATAAAACATAAAACTTAAAGTTCAAGACATTAAGTGAAGAGAAATATGCTACCAACATGGAATGTTCAAATTCAATATAAAGGGAATGGACATATAAAATGTTAAAATATAGATACTGTAAATATTTCTCTGTTCTTTGGGCGAAACAAAAGTTATAATTATCAATGCGAACTTCATTCTTCAGAGCATGTCAAAAAAGAAAATTTTTATTCAAAACGTACCTAATCCCCCTTCTTCTCGCTTTTTGGAAGCTTCGGCTCTTTCTTGTCGTATGAGAGCTAAATAATCTGAAAGATAAGGATATAGAACATTAGAGGAATTCAATCTCACATAGTTGAATTACTTCAAGAAGACGGTATATTAAGCGCCTGTTTGGTTCAAGAGAAACTCGTACCTAGATCTTTCTTCGATTATTCTGTTTTTTCTTGCTCTTGAAGTTTTATGTAGAGCTCATGAGCTCTTTGTTTCTCTATCTCCTCTCTGAAAACAGAAGGAAAAATTTCAAAAATTAGAAAATTCACTATGAAATCATTTATCATATGTTACTAACCTGGTACTATATTCCAGTAGTACAAGGGGATTCTAGAGGAGCAAAGATATAGACATTTTGAATATGTACCTTGCAATAACAACAAACATAAGCAAATCAATATCAGTTTCTACATATATATCCACAATAAAAATGAATCAATGATTAAACAAATCCAAACTGCAACACAATGAAATATCAGAAAAATCAAAACCTAAAATCGAAAAAAATTACAAAAAATCTAAAAAGTCGAACCTATCTTAAAATAGAGATACACCAACTTTCTCATACGATGGTGATGACGACGAAGATGATGAGTAATAATTGTTGGAGAAGGAGAGGCGATGGTCGGAGGCGAGATTGCTCGAAATAAAAATCCAACCGGTTCATTGGAAAGCCCGTGAGATGAGGAATACGAAAATAGACTTTTTTTTCATTTAAGGTGGTGGTGACCGGAGAAAGGGGCGACAACCGCTAGGATTTAATGAGAGCAAAAGAGAGAAAAAGAAAGGTTGTGTGTAAGGTTGGATCGGAGAAAAAAATATTTTTATTTGAACTAATGAGAGACCAACAATTAGCACATGCGTAATGAAAATTAAAAAAGTGGAATGCCATTTTGTTGATCTCTGAAATGCTCTTTACTCTTTGAGAATTAATTTGTTGCAAAGACTATTTTAGTTAATTTGACCAATCTTTTAGTAATAGTTAAGATAATAGATTTATTGCAAGGGCTATTTTAGTCCGTTTGACCAATTCTTTAATAATAGTTAGATAGTAGATTGTGAAACAATGTTTTACTAGTGTGCAATCGTCGCTAATGTTTGTTACGACATTCTAAATTATTGTAACTAAGTTACAGTTCGCCTGCAACTAAATATTTAAAACACCACTTTTGTCCACTAATTTATATAAACCATCGCAATTATATTTGTTGATGTGTTTTTTCTATTTAAACCGTACCCAAACACCCTTTTTTTTTTCGTTGTCATCGGAGTCAATAACTTTTCTTCTAATATTCCGTAAGATAAAAAAATGTTAATTTGAAAATCAAACATAAATATTAGATATATGTTAAGGGTCCGTTTGTTTTGAATTTAAAAATATATATATTTTTAGTGTTATACTATTTTGTTTAAAAATTTTACAATTTTTTTATTAAAAACTTCAAATATAAATTTTGTTTGAATAATTAATCTTAAAATGATATTTTAATTATTTCATCATTTTATTTTAACTGTTTTAGGATATTAAAATTTTAAAAAAATCATTTAATTTTAAAGTTATTTTAAATAGTTATTTATAAAATTTATTTTTAAAAAGAAAATACTTAAATATAATTTTATAGGTGTGATTCATACTTTTCTCTAATAAAAATATGGAAAATATATTTAAATATCTTTTAGATAGTAAAAATAGGAGAAATTGCATATGTGTAGGAGAAATTTATACACTTGTTATATTTTTATTAGAAAAAAAATAAAAATCACACATAAAGAATTTTACCTAAGTTTTTTTCTTTTTAAAATACAATTTTTTGAAAAAATTGTGATTTTAACTATATCTTATTGACTTTCAATAATGTATATTTATGTCATAGAATGTGAAAATAAATCTTTCAATTTATAAAACACGAATTAAAAAGACTTTAATATTTTAAAAATATTATTATAAAAATGCAAAAAAAAACTATTTTTTTTAAATTTAAACAAATATGCCCTAAGTCCTAAGTGTGATAATCACCTTACTAGCTACTTTTATATGCAAGGTAAATAAATCCACCATATAAAATCATTAAAGAAACTCAGTCCACAAGAGTGCTGTTTAGCAACATGTTTGAACTAAACCATAACAAGATTGAATGTTCATGTCTGCCTTCTTTTGTAAAAGTTCAAAACTAAACGCATTTTCGTTATAATAAACTCTATAATTGTTTTAAGGCATTCTAAATCAATTGCACTCTAAATTTTAACTACTACATTTGAGGTCAACCTGAAGCAACTAAAAGTTTCAAACTACAATGAACATTTATCTGCTTTCTTCCCTATAACTACGTTCAACGGCTTCATGGTCTAGTGGTTGAATCCTAATAATAGTTTCTGGCACCGGCAACGTCGGTGGTGCTTCTGATCCAACAATCTTTCTACATGTTTCAAGGAGGCACTGTCTGCACTTGGGGCATGATGAATGTTCCTTTAGCCATTTGTCAATGCAACCAACATGAAAACCATGGTTGCATTTAGGCAATATGCGTATCTTTTCACCCTTTGCGAACTCTGAGAGACATATCATGCACTCCGCATCCAAACCTGGCAGTTGCACCTCAACTGAGAAGCTCACTATAGGAAATGTCTTGAGAGCATTCTTCTTGATTCCTTTGTTGCCCAATTGAGGTGAAGAGTTGCTGCTCGAACTCAAAGAAGAGCCGTTATTGCTGATGGCTACGTTTGAAAACCTAAAAGCACACCTTATGATGGAGTTTAATACAAGTGAACATATAATAAGCGCACACAATAGAACTGCAAGTATCATCACAACATTTGAATCAAATTCAAGAGAATGTGAGTCTGTTGAATTATGGTTGTTTGTTAAAACATCGGAGTTGGTTAGTGATTGATGATCAACAGGGTGTTGGAAGAGTAACCTTCTTGTGTGAGATTCCACAAGAAGCTCATGGAGGAATGGTGAAGTAAAGGAAGTAGAAGCATACATGTTCTTTCTTAGGAAACTTAATGAGTTAATTACTTAAAGCTTGAGGGTTGTTACAATATTGTCCTAGATGAGTGGACTATATATATTGCTATGGTATCTGACTTTAATTAAAGTTTAATGTGTTTTTTTATTATTTTTTTCTCCACTGATCACTATGTCTTTCTGTATATTTTTTAATTTGGTTTATATATAAGGTCCATTTTATTTCCACTTTATGCCAAGTAGAAAGGCAACTGAATTTTATAAATCATACCAAATATAATATTATTATATATTAAATGGAATTACCGATTCCCACTAAATAAAGGACCCATTGAGCTCAATAAGGAATAGTTAAGAGATGAATTGATGCTAAAATATATAATTTTTTTGAAGGTTAAAGACTATGTGGAGAGGACAAGTCAGTGGAAAAGCTCTTTTGTTTTCATAGCTGCCAATGTCCTTATTGTACACTCTTGTAACGAGTGACAAGCGACAAGTTGAGTTTCAGAACATTAACATCAACTATGAATTATGGCAATAGGATTAGGGCTTTTCTTAACTCACCCGTAGGATTGAAAAATATCCTATAAAATTCTATAAATATCTCTACATAATTGAAATGTATTTTTAGTATATACTTTTTCTATTGAACACAAATTAAAATAAAAAATATAATTACTAGATAAAATTGTAAATATATTTTTAATTCCTATGCAGACAATAATAAAAAATATATGTAAGCAGTAGATATTTTTCGTATTGTGACAAGCTACCGGAAGAGTTTCAAAACATTAACATCAACCATGAATTATGGCCATAGAATTATAAATCAGTATTATTATTATTACTGAAATTCTGGCTGCAAATACTCAATGTCACGTTCAATGTTATGACACCGTATCTGACTTTCTATAAGACAGTAAATACAAAAACAGTAAAGAACACAGTCAATTGTTTACCCAGTTCAGTGTGCAACAATACCTACTTTGGGGGCTACCAAGTCAGGGAGGAAATCCACTATAAGAGATGTTAATTCAGGAATAAACCAACCAGTTTATCTCCTTCACTTAAGACCTACCCAATGCAATTTCAATCTAAGTACAACTTAAACCTGAGTTCCTACTCACTCCCCCTCAATCACAGCAGTGATACATAAAACAGTTTGACTAATGAATTGATGAAGACACTCTTCAAAAACATACACTTGATTAAGCTTCACAGCTTTTTAATCAAGCAACACAACCACTCTTGCTTCACAGCTTTGAGTGATACACACACCTAACTTGACTCTGCTTCACAGCTTTAGTCAAGAGACATACAAACACTCTTGCTTCAAAGCTTTGAGTGCTACACAACCCTTACAATTAAAAACCTATTCCAAGTCACTTATCACAATGATAATTGCTTGGATTACAATAGTTAAAACTATACAGCTTACAAATGATCTTCTGTCCAAAAAGGGATTGCTTTCAAAACAGCAGCTCTGTTGAATATATAGCAGCTGCATCTTCAGTTAGGGTTTCCACAAAAAGCTAGGGTTAATTCCATTTGACCTTAAGACTAGGTCACAGGACTTTATCAACCAGGTTAGGGTTGAGCTAGGTTAACCCAAAGAAAACGCAGGATTCTGTTCTGGAAAGACTGAGTCATTTTCCTGAAAAAACTCAGAATTAACCAAACTGCAAACCTGTTAGTTCAGAACAGGATGTCTTAACATTTGTTATGACATCTGAATTCCTGTTTACTGATTTTGGTAAATGTGATCATTTTGCAAAATGCTCAGATACACACTCATAAACATCAGTACCTGTATGACAATATTTTTCTGCAAAGGTACCTAATGAATCAGTACAAACTAAACTAGAATGTTATGACATCAGTCATGACATTCACACATACACTTAGGATTTACCAAAAATGCAAGCCAATAACTAAACAACTACAAACTCCCCCTTTGGCAGATTTTTGGCTAAAGACCCTAAGCAATCAGAGATAGTTAGCAGCAGAAAGAAATGACTGCAGAAAAATAGAATGTCTAATTAAGTAAGTACCAAAATATATCTCCCCCTCTTTAGCCACAAATGGGCCAAAGATACATGTTCATAAAAATTATACAGTCATCCAGAAAAAAGTAATAAGAGCAGCAGCTAAAAACTGAACACACTTCCAAACTCCACCAGGGACCAGCATCAACTCCACCAAACAGCAACCAACCTTTAAGCACTATCATCAAACTCAGAGGAGCTAGTTTCTTCAGTATTGAGATGACCTTCAGCTTCTATACCCTCTTCCCTTCTGTTTCCTTCAGCTTCCTCCTTTTCTAACCTGGCAATTAGGATTTCTAGGGTCTTTTTCCTAGCTTCCAGTTCTTTGCAGGTCTCTTTTAATACAGCCATGACATCAGATGTCTTGGACTGGGTCTTCACAGACGATGTCTCAGCTGATGTTATGACAATATCAGGAGCATGAGATCCCTGAAACAGTTTGTAGTGCAACCCAAGGGCAGGTGCTCTTTTGAAAGCAGTATCTCTTGCCACCAGGATATCAGGGTATTGTGCAAGGATAATTCCACAAAGGAGGGAGGGAAAGGCAATTGGTCCTTTGACAGCATAACTACCAGCATGTTTTAAAGTTTGTTCAAAAATATACATGCCATAGTCAAAAACAGTCTTGGTTCCCACAACATAAATAAATCTCCCCAATCCTGTGGAGATAGTTGATTTATGATTTGTAGGCACCCAGTTGGCTGCACCAATCTTGTGCAGGATGGCAAATTTCATGCTAAGTTTGCTGGCATTCAGCTTGCCTTTCAAGGGCCAGCACTTCACTTGCCTTGTTGTGATGGTTTGACAAACTTCATTGTCAGTGACTTCCAGATCAGGACAATCCTCATTTGTTCTTCCAAGAAATTTGTTAATTTCTGATGGAGAGAAATTAACCCTTCTTCCTCTAACAAAAACACTTTCAAAGTCAGCTGACCTTCCATCAGCACAATCATTAGACAAGTTAACTATGAACTCCTTGACCAGATTTTCATAACACTTGTTAAATTTTATCACTGTCTTCATCAGTCCAGCATTCTTGATCAGGTCCATGATGTCTTTGCACTCCATGGCATCATTGTTGAGTTCTCTTTCTAAAGCTATTCTCTTTAAGCAAACATACTTCCATCTGTTTGCATTGTCAGGATGATGAAAAGAGATGTTGTCTGTTGGGACTTCAGGAACTCTAGCAATTTTGCTGGAGGGGAGCTTCCTTCTGATAGGAATTTCTTCAGCATCAATCTCAAACTCTGATTCCTCATCAGAATCAGAAGATTCAGGTTCTTTTCTCTTCTTTGAAATTGGTTGTCTAGCAGTATGCACCTGGGCTTTCACCTTCCCTTTGGACTGAATAGTTTTCACAGATTCTACCCCAGCCATGCCTTCAGCCTTGGATTTCTTAACAACAGGTTTATCTTTGGACACACATTTTGCATCATTCTGATTACCCTTTCTTTTCATCAATCTCCTAGCTATGCTAGGGTTTACATTGGCAATCAGATCATTATCTGAGTAATCCTCATCCACATCAATGATAGGTGGATCAGCAGTCTTTTCTGAAGGGTTCTGAATGTTGTCATTTTGTGTCACAACATTCTCAGAGACATCTACATTCTCAGAGACGTCCACATTTGGGCTTCCTGATTGATTTAAAGGGACAGAAATCCCCGGTACAGGTTGGTTTCCGCTTAGTATACTAGTAACAAGCCTAGCAATAGCTTGATGAACTTAAACTGATCCTTCTCTATTTAGTACAGAAGAAGAAGGATGAGAAGGATTACCAGAGGCTGCAGCTTGAGCTCTTCCTGCATGTCTAGTTCTCAGCTTTTTGACTTTGGCGGGGTCAGTTGTCATCTCTCTGAGAGGAGTGACCTCAAGAACTTCAGATTCTATGCATGTGGTGATTGCTCTAGAGTCTTGGTCAGATGATGAAGATGATGAGGATGATGAAGTCGCCTTGGTTGAAGATGATGTCTGAGACATTTTGATTGACTTAGAGCACCAGTAGCAATTTGAGAGAAAATTTTGATTGAGAGAAGGGAACAGGTTGCAAAGTCGAGAGAGGTAGGAGGTAAAAGAGAGTCTTTTCAACTTCTTAAGAATTTTGAAAGAATTTGGAAAACATATGATTAACCCACTAAAAATAGACTTAACAAAATTAAATCCTTCAACCCTTGTTTTAAGCAAAATTAGTTGCTATAATTTCTCATGTTGGCAAATACCCAACCTGCCCCTCAAGTTTTCAAGTTTATTTCCAACAAGAGCCTTGGTAGAAGAATCAGCCAGCTGAAGCTTAATGATACCATGTTCCAGTTTAATTGACTTCTTCTCTATAAAGTCAATGTGCTTGGTCCTGCTAAGCTGAATAGGGTTCATGGAAATATTGATTGTATTCAGATTGTCACAATATAATGTCACAACATCTTGTGAGACATTATACTCAGTGAGCATCTGTTTTGTCCAGATATTTTGAGAACAGTTATTCCTAGTTGCAACCATTTCCGCACAGAGTTGGGAAGGCATTCTTTTGACATGAATCATAGTTCTGGTTGATTCTTGAATGATTTTCTTTTTGTCCACTCCATTTTGATGGAGAGTTATAGGAGAAGAGACTTCACGACTCATTTCTTCAGGGAAACAGAATTTATTAGACTTGTTGTTTCCAACATCCTTGTCATGATTACTTCTGGTTCTGACAACACATCCTTCTTCAAGTTTATTCACATCATAGACATGTTTCTTTTTACCAAGCCTTTCAATTTTAAGTTCACCACAAACCCTTCTTTTATCAACCTGTAGTTTTGGAGTCCTTCTGACTGCTTCCATAGAGATATCTCTTTTCATTCTTCTTAGATGAAGATGACCAAGCTTATGATGCCACAATTTCATCTCTTTTTCTTCTTTGGTAATTGGACACATAGTGGAGTTATTAGTGTTCTCAGGCTGCCACAAGTAACAATTATCTTTGGATCTGAT